AGTAGAAGATGTCTGTCCTCAGAGACAGAGCATAGCATTGCAGGCAAAGAGACCATAACTCAGAACCATGGTCCAATCCTAATCTGCATCATGGGGCCATAACCTCCAGCATGTTCCTCACTCAGCATCTAGAGCACTGACTGCTGGGACTTCACTCTAAGGGAGGGGATCAGAGCATTCTTATCTGTGGGCTCCAAGCACCCTGAGAAGAAAGGCTAGCACTATATTGATATTTGAATCTTTCCAGGTAGAAGTCCCCAACACATTGTCCTATAGTGAAGCTCACAGGCAATGAGAGCATCTACTCACATGCTCGGGGTCAGCAGTCAGCTTTAGTGTGGCCCACACTGAAACGAGAACTTACATTCGTGGGTGAAAGAACTAAGGAAGAGCTTTGACCTGGAAGAGGGGTGCACAAGAGCAATAGAAGAGAGTTAACTAGGAGGAGGCGGGCAGACGTTCCAAAGCAGGCAGAAAGGACCTTGAGAAATAAAAGAAGAGACAGTTAGGAATCATGATAAGATAGTATTACAAACTAGTCAGAGAATTAAAAGGAATCTCCGAGTTTTTCAAATTCGGAAATGAAAAGTTGTGTAAGAGATGGGAATTTGTCATACTTTACAACTTGGATAAGAATGGGATTTGCAAAGTCAAAATATTTTAAATACTATGTATTGATAAAACAAAAATTATACTGTAGTTGTATGGGAGGAAGAAGAAATGGGAGGAGGGATGCATATTCCTGGTGGGGACCTGGGGAGAAAAGAGTGAAATGCTGTCTTTTATGGAGGACAGTTAATTGAAAATGCCACTAAGTAAAAAACAATTTTTTTAATGAGTCATGCAAGTGTAGTATTGGAAATGTGGTCATAAATATAAAATAACTGCCGTAATAATGAAAAGGTATAAAAAAAATTCACTGGTGACAGCAGCATCTGGGACTACTGGTTATTTTTATTTTTATTTTTGGTTGGTATTTCTAAATGAGCCTTGGAGAATGTATTTTAAAATGATATACATTCGTTAGTTTCATAAAAATAAATAAAAATATTTATAGTTGATGTAATCAGCATCCCTTATGTAAAAGTAGAATTCCCAAATTGTTAAAAATATCCTCTAAATCTAAATACTGACATATGTCAAAGTTTTATTTAACTTATAAACTAGAGAACAAGCTGAACAACAAATGAGCTGGTTAAAAGTATTTGAGATTCTCGTGGGAGAAGAGGTACTTGTGTAAAAATGTCATTTGGTCTAAGCCAAGTAAACTTGGTACAGAGCAGTAAAAATGCTGTTTTTTGCAAATAGGCAAACAAACATTGAACTTTGTTATTTTTTGGAAGTTAGCCTTTTGTATTCTCATACAGTCCTCTGATCATACAGGACTATAACAATTCTGGTTTCTCATCAGTTGTAGACAGTCACACTAAGCTACATTTTCTGAGAAAGGACCCTCAATTGGGTTCAGCAGAAATGTTATATCATGTGATCTTCATTTTGCTTTATTTCCAGGCTTTAGATATTTTTTTCCTGAACATTTACTGTAAATATAAATAACTTTTAAAACACCATGAAAACCAATCAGTTTTAAATTCTAACAAGATACTGTTTGCCTCCTGCCTGCTATGACTGGAGGGCTTCCCTCTTTCTTAAAAACCCGGCTTGCACGAAGAAGAGAGGTATTAAGACATGTTTGCAGTAGAGGCATATTTTTCTTCTCAGTATTATCAGATGGGTTGAAAGAAAAAGAATAAAGAGGGCAGGATACCTTTCAGTGTTATGAAATGGAATGTCTGTGTATTATTACTTAAAATCATTTCATGGGTATTATGATCTCTTCCTGTTCTGGAAATACTGTAGGAAATCAGTGGTTTTAAACTGTATTCTCCAAAAACCTAAGGCTTAGTATAAACCAAGAAGACAGGAGTTGGTTCCATCCCACCCCTACCTAACCCTACCCCTCTCCACCGGAGTTTTCCTCCTACTGTGTTATGCAGTGGGCTTATGCATGCAGTTTCATTTAAAGTCCCTTCTAAATAGCATAGCCTATAATTATAAAGAGAAAAAAATCACTACAATTGGCAGTGTGTTTAGGTTGAATGGATTAATTTCTTTGCCAGAGCCATGGTGGGAAGACTGATTGTGTCATTTCAATTACAAGCCACCATTTAGTTCAGGCCCAGAAGACACTTTCTTAGGGTTTCCCTCCACTTGCCTGGCACTGGAGCAATTAACAGTGGGTGATTTGTGGCTGCACTTTCACTGCTTAGCACAGGTTTATCATCTTGAAAGTTTTCCATTTGCATTTATGCTATACATTCTTTGGGTGACATTTCCATATCACCCAGAGTTTATATTATGCATTGCCCTGTACTGCACTTCCTTCTACATGCTGTGAATCTACAAGCCCAGCTTGAATTCTGATGTAGTCCAAGGGAAATATGAATTGCAGCCACCACTTACCCTGGGTTTTCTATGTGCTGACCCCTCGTATCAAGGGCTTTTACCCGCATTTTCTAACTTATTCTTCAAACCAGTAACCTCAAGATTTCTAGTGTTTGCTGCCTTTTATAAATGCAGAAATTGAAAATCAGAGAGGAAAAATAATTTGCCCAAGGTCAACCAGCTCAAGTTAGCAGAGCTAGGATTCAAACTCAAGTCTGTCTGCTCTCGAAATGCTCTGCTAGATAGCCACCCACATCAGGAGCTTTTGGAAGGAAGTGGATTGAATTTGACAGTTCCTTACTTTTAAGTACCAAACTTCCAGGGCAACCTAATTGCTGCTCTTTGAACTAAGAAGAAATGGTCGTTTAAAAGAAGCAAGGGGCAGAAAAGGTCAAGAGGAAAGGGGGGTTTTAATATCTCTTCTGGTAAAGGAAAAGATGTAATATGGAACAAAATTGAATCAAATGGGAACTATTATATAAATTTGATGAAATTACAAAGGAATGCAGAAAAGATACCAGATAATGAACACATAGGAGCAAAGATTTTCTTAAAAAAAAAAAAAAAAAAGAAATCAGAAGTCACTGAAGGGTTTATAAGTTGGTCCAGTTAAAGACAGTCTATCCACCTCGATAAATGGAAGGAGAGTAATAAGGCCCCGAGGTAACTGCCAGAGATCTATGATCATATTCTCATCTGTCTGGGTGACTTTCGGAAAAAAAAAGACTCTAAAGACAGATTGCTGAATTTGCATCTTTTTTCACCTGGATTACCCAGGTCAAGTCACTTGACTTTTCTGGGCTTTGGTTTCCTCATCTGAATAATGGGGGTAATAATATTGTCTATGTTGATGCAAAAACTGGTCGAGTGCTTAGCAGGATGCCAGACACTAAGGAAGTATATTTTACTTGAAAATGTTTGCTATTGCTGTTATAACTGTAGTTATCATATTTACATGATTTAAGAACTAGGAGATTTTAAGTCGGCATAAAGGCTTGAAGAAATAAGAAGAGAGAAAATTTGCCTTTAGCTTAGAAATATGGGGATATGCAGCCTGGCAGAAGCTTCCATAGCAGAGGTTCTGCTGGTCGCTGCACAAGGCTAGAGGAAGGGAATTGGCCAAAGTGCCAAAGAAATGAATCTGAGGCAGAAAGGAAAAGCAAGCTCAGGGCGACTCATCTCTGGATGCCAATAGTTATTGAAAGCATGTTAGGAAGTGAGGACACTTTTAATAAGTACATCTTTCTTTTCCTTGCCCTCCTCCAACTACAGATCTATTTCCTTTCATAGGGTCCACTGAGAAAGAAAACTGCAGTTGGGTTGAGGGCAGCAATGCAGCAAAGATTTCTCACCTACTTAGCAATGAGTGTGGGCATTTATTCACCTTCTCAGCTACCATTTATTTAGCGCCTTCTTTAGAGCAGGCTCCCTTAGGACCTGGGGACACAGAGCCCTTCCCAAGCCTGAGCCTCTACTTCCAGGTATGCACATTAGGTTGTGTCGTGGTTCTCAGCCATCTGAATGATGCACCTAAGATCCAGAAATTGCTTATACCTCAGCTATTTTTTTAAACTACAGAATCTTCTACTGGGAGATCATACATGTGTGTTTCTTCCAGAATTACCCATGTCCCATTGAGGTACGCATCAAACTTGAGAGGATCTCCCACATTTTATTAATGCGGAAGTTAAGTCTTGGAAAGGTTCGGTGCTAAGTGAGGTTGCACAGCTGACAAGCATTACACTTGAAATTTAAGCCCAGAACGCTGAATCTAAGATCTCAGGCCTTTCTTCTTGGTGGTGTCCACATTCACAGGGATGCATGGGTGAAACTGTGCCTGAAGGCTATGCTATAACATGATCTGGGGATGCAGATAAATGCATGTGAAAACCTAGCTTGCCCACAGCAAAAGCACAGAAACCATCAGCAAGGCCTGTAGAAAATGTAGGGACCTGCTGTACTTAAAGTGAGAATACTACAGATGTTACAAACTGACTTACCATGGATTTTCACCGCATTGTGGGTAATGCTGCTTCTGCTAGCTAAATACCCACAATAATCAGTTTCCATCCTATTTCCTAGTCCCTGATAATGCTGCCTCTTCCATTAGTGCCTCCAGCCTATGGGTGATAGTGTCTTCCTGCTGTTGAGGCTTCAGCTTTCCTGTTGCATGTATAACCAATTCTCTGCTTTAAGGTCCATCCTTTTCTCAAGCAAGATTCTGTTAGATGAAGAAACACAGGTCCAGGGAGGGGACATAACTTAGCCAGTGGAGTATTTTGTCAGAGTTAGTATTCTAAATCCAAACTTCCTATTCCCAAACCCATCATCGCTAACTTATATTGAAGGTGATTAAGGAATTTCTGGGACACAATCCAAAGTGATGGGGCTTGAACGATGACAATGAGAGTGATGATGATAATTACAATGGTCCTGATGGTGTTGGTCGCAATAGTGTTGGGGATCACCATTTGTGACCACATATCTGTGTCTTTAAAAGACTGTGCTAGCAGAACGTCCTGGTTGTCACACAAATGTCTCTGCCTACGTTACAGGCCTTCACCTACCATCACATTCAAGAGATCATGGTCCAGCTGCTTCGCACCGTGAACCGAACAGTAATCACCATGGGCCGGGATCATGTCCTGATTGTGAGTAGATCCTTCCCTCTTGTCAAATGTGGCAAATGGTTTAGGATCCAGTGATGGATTTTCTTGAAAAACCAAATGACGCTGAACACCAGCACCAATCACCGCTTTGTTTTGGCCAACAAAGGTCAGATTGCTCCTGTCTATGTTGAAAGAATATGAGAACTAATTCAAGGTACTAAAACAGAATGATACTTAGGACTTGTCTCAGAGGTTAAGTATACCAGAAGGGGTGAAATATCACTGGTAAAGATATAGAAGTGAGGGGAGCTTTTGTAAGTGAGCAAGATGGGATCTCTCAGGAATCTTTCCTTTTGGCATAGGGTCAGATTCTATGGGCTTTATTTTCTAAGTGATTTTATTGTGTATTAACTCCACCCACAGATACCATTTAATTCAAGGCCAATGTTAAATTTAGGATTATTCTTGTATAAAAACATTCTAAAGATCAAGATATTCTGCCCTATATATGATTATCTCCCCAGACGTAGAACCCATTGCTAACCTTTTACCCTCTGTCCCTCTTGGTTTAAAACAAGAATCAAACATTGCGATGTTTATAGGGGTCAGACCTCAGCATAAATGAGTATGTCCAGCCCCTTTGCTCCTCTGCATACACCTGCCAGTGGATTCACATTCCACTCAGAAAGATCCACGCCATCACTAGGCCTGAGATGCCCCTCCCCGCTTCTCCTTCCTTTACTTTCTCCCACACACAATACTGTTCCCTTGGTACCTGGGAACATTTTTCTCATCTTAATCAGATTTTGCTCCAGCATCACTTGATCATAGAATCTTTCCTGCCCTGACTCATGTTTACAGTGTCTGGGACCTCTCTACTGTCTTCCAATCTCTATGGCTTACTTTTTTTTTTTATTAGTGTTTATTACCTGAATTATAGATCACTCTGCTTGTTTATTGTCTAGCTTTCTCAATGAGGATAGCTTCAGGAAGACACCTGTTTTAATCTATTTTGTTTATTGCTGTATCTTTATATCCTACAAAAGTGCCTGTCATTTAGTAGTTGCTTGATAAGTGCCTATTAAATGAAGGAATAAAGGAATGGATGGATGGATAGATGGATGGATGAAATATACCTCCTAGTGGTTTAGGAGGACCAGGGCTATTCAGCTTTCACTGAAATACCATGTAAATTGGGCCATATAGTTGATAATACTAATTTGTTAAGAGAAGTTGAAAATCTCCATATTTTATATGAGGTCTCCTGACATGTAAGTATTGGCACCTAATTAAAAATGTGGATTACCACTATATAATTCCAAAAAACTGGGTCCAGCTTTCAGATAACAGACTGGCATCTCTGCATTACAGTGATATGGCAGCATCCAGGCTTGAGGAGGTCGAATCACAGCACACTACAGTCCTGCTGTGTGGATATAGAATTTAAGAGTCTAAACTGTTCTAATTGTGGCTGGGAAAGTATTTGATCACTAGAAGCAGCCCAAGCGTGACAGTCTTCTTTTACCAATTCAGTTCTATGTACTTTCATATATGCCTATCTGCATAATGTGTATTGTGTACATGTAAAACCTTGGGCTGGGCTGGGAGTGTGGTTCAGTGGTAGAAAGCTTGCCTGGTACACATGAGGCACTGGGTTCCATCCTAGGCATTGCAGGGAGATAAAACGAAAGAAGCAGTGACACCCACAGAGAGCAGCAGCAGTACCAGCACTCCTGCTTTTCTGAGCCAGAGGGCCCTATAAACCGGTCTTTGTCATTTGTCTCACTTACTCTCCTTCCACCACAGAAGTTACACCATTACTTATGCAGCTACAAGCTTCCTTATCCATGACTCCCGTAACCTACCTTAGATAAGCTCTTTATGGCCTTTCTAATCTTTATTCTTTTTCTTTGGAGCAAACCTAAAGATGATCATCTGTCTATTTGGCTCATTCTGTATATAACAGGTTCTTAACTCGCTGTCTTCCCTTTAGAGCAGCAATTCTTTAAAATGGGCCTTGGATTGTAGAAAGTGCTAAGGGATGTCTGTTATTATTTTCCTTTCTATCTGCTGCAGTAAGTCTCTCTGACCCTTTGTGTTATCCACATAGGCAAGTGATCAGTTTGGCCCTTATTCACCTGCAATGTAGCTATCTGAGCCTTTTGTTTGTTCCTGTGCCCTGATGGCTGACCCTCCCAACACACATTCCTTACTGCTGCTCCAATAATCTTTGCCAGGATGTCCCAGTACTTTGAAATATTCAGTGGCTCTCCACTGCCTACCAAAATAAGTCCTAAATGCGTTAGCCTGACCATTTCCAGCTTCTGGCAACTGGTCTGGTCACAACTGGATGTTTTAGTCTTTCATCTCCTGTTTTCTGTCCACATATCCCATCAAAAATGGATGTCTGGCTATTGCCCAAGCATGCCCAGCTGTCACCTTCATGTACAGTCTGTGCTTCTTTCTTTCCTGGAATCTTCCTTGTGCTGTTGACTTCCTACCTGGTCTTCAAGGGCCAGCACAGGCTCATGTCGTTAAGAAACAGCCCTGGCATGTACCTCCTCTCTCACTCAAACACTTCTCTGTGCCTTGGTGTTGTGATTTTTTTGTTTTTTCTTTAACAGTTTTTATTGAGGTGTAATTAATATACTTTAAAACTGAACAATCTAAGTATTCATTTTGGTGAGTTTTAATAAATTTATACAGTTGTGCCCCTAGACCATTACCACCCTCAACATTCATTTGCAGTTAACTTTCCATCTCTTCTCCACCCCTAAGTCACTACTGATCTCCTTTCCATTTCTACAGATTTGCCATTTCTGGAAATTTCACATAAGTGAAATCATGCGAATTGGGATCTTTTTTGTTTGCTTTATGTTTGCAGTGCTGGGGTTGGAATCCTGGGCATTGTATGTCCTAGGCAAGTACACTACCACTGAAACACACCCCCAGTCCCATGTATTTTATTTTGATCAAGAGTCCTACTAATTTTCCCTGGCTGGCCTCAAACCTGTGATCTTCCTGCCTCACACTCCTGATTAGGTGGTAAGATAGGCATGTGCCACCTTCCTTGGCCAATTTGAGGTCTTTTGTGTCTAGCTTCTTTTCTTAACACAATATTTTTGAGGTTTATCCATATTTTAAGTATCAGTACTTCATTTTTATTGCTGTACAATGTTACACTGTACAAACATTTGGTTTGTATATTTGGTACTCGATGTCTTTGGATTGTGTTCATTTTGTGGCTGTCATGATTTATGCTACGATACACATTTATATATAAATTTTATGAATATATTATAATTTCTCTTGATTAAAAATCTAGGAGTGAGACTGGTGAGGCATATGGTAAGTATATATTTACCTCTGTAAGAAACTAGCCAGTGATTGTCTGTAGTGGCCTTGACACTTTACCACCAGCAGGAATGAGGGTTTCATTTACCCTTATCCTAGTATTGGCAGTTTTTGGATTTTAACAATTTTAATGGGTCTGTTATAGTTCTGCTAGCAGCTTATTGTGGCTTTCATTTGCATTTCCCTGATGAATTATGACGTTGAATACTTTTCATGTTATCTACCTCTTTTGTTTTTTTCAAGTGGGGTATGTGTCAAATATACCTGGACCAGAGCTCCTTGCTTATGCCAGAAGACTTTTGAAGGATTGTGCCTATCTATAAAATAGGCTAATAGTAGACCTGTCTCTTAGAGATGATATGCCACTGACATCCCACAGGAGAAACCTTTGTACACATAATTCTTTATTTATTCTTTCTGCATTTTAAAGATCACCTTATGTGCTCAGAAAACAGTTTGGCTTGATCTGTGCCCTCAAAATCAGACCTCTTCCGTGCAATGTGCCTCAAACATTTCAAACTTACTCTCCTCAAAGCTCAACTAATCACCAGCTCCCTGAAGTGCTCTGCACACTGTCCTTAAATGCAGGATTTTAGTTTAGAATCTACTGTAAGAACCAGACATGATTTTGACCCCTCCCTCTCACTCCTCTGCCTGCTACTAGGTAACTACTGGTAGTTACCCACCACATCTTGGTCCTAGTCCTGTGGTTTCTTGTGTGTCTGGCTTCATTCCCTGCCCTTTGGGGACTAGAGGGACCCCCCACCACCACCACCACTTCTTTGCTGTGCTATTTGCTCTCAGAGCTTAAGTGCTCACAATGGCCAGGCCATTGTGCCCATAGTGTTTAGCACACTGTAGGGTCTTCTTTCTGTTTGTCCCCTTTCCTCTTATTCTTCGAACCTCTTTAGAGCAGGGACCATGTTTCTTCCTGTTATTCTCACCAAAGAAAGATGTCTAGAATAAAATAGGTACTCAAAAAATATTTTCTGTACAAATGAAGGAACTAGTGAATGAACAAATGAGTGAATGAATGAAAGAAAGAAATACGCTTTGGGAATGTTGTGTCATTTCTACCTTAATATTTCTGTATGTGCTTCCTTCAAATTGATTGAATGTGTTTTCTCAATATCGGAAACCCACATATCAGGGAGTGAGGCAACAGTGTAAAGAACTGCCTGCTGAGGTTTCCCAGGTCCCTTGGGCTGTTTCCAAAAGCTATGCTATTAGTCTCAGTGATTTTGGATTTGCTCGTGTAATTACAACAATGTAGGTTTTGAGGGAGGAGTATTATAGGCATGTAGCAAATGCACCTCGCTAGGAGCAGGCCAATGCCTCAAACAGAATGAGAAAAGCAATCAAGTATTTCTTAAGAAATGGGCTCACTGGCATGAATTGGGCCTTCCCAGCAATTCCTAACATGGAGATATCTCCTCCAAATTAAAGAAAATGATATCAGAAAATAATTACTCAGGGGTCAAGGGGTCCCTGTCTCAGCGTCAAAGGCCCCGATTTAATTTAGAATTGAAATATGACAAGAAAGAAAAATACCCATTCCACCAGTCACTTTTAATTTTCCAGATGTGATTTTTATTGGTTGGTTTACATTGCTGGGGAATATTAAATGATCAATATTTATGGCAAACACCAGACATTTCTAGCACTTCAGGAATTCCAATAAGACCTTG